TACACCAAAAAGTTAGGTTGACCCAGCTACGTCAAGCAGGCGTGTGAAATATCCACACCCCTGAGCAGCATAGTTAGGTTGACCTAGCCCCTGTGTAGACAGCGCTAAGTGGATGGAAGAAACCATCTCTTGGAGAGGTGGATATCCTTGCTGATGGGAGAACCCCTTCTGTTGGCGTAGGAAGTGTCTACACTGAAGCGCTACAGCAGCTCAATTGCAGCTGTGGGTGGCTGTGGTGTTCCAAGTGTAAACAAACTCTTAAAGACTGTTCTGTTTCAGATTTGTTGGCCTGTACATCGGGGTTCTCCAGCCTTTCCATTCTCTGTGTACAGGAGCTCCTCACTTAAAGTCATCCTGGTTAATGTTGTTTCGTTGTTACATTGCTGATCAATTAGGGAACATGCTCGTGTAAAGTTGTGCAGTGCTCCCTTCTAACCTTGTTTGGCAGCCGCCTGCTTTGTCCACTGCTTGCAAGAAGAGCAGACCGTTGCAGCTAGCTGGTGGGTGGTTGGAACCAGGGTGGACCGGCAGCCCCCCTATCAGCTCCCTGCTCCCCTAAGTTCCCTGTGCAGCAGCTGCTCAGCAGGCTATCAATTGCCTGCAGTTCTGCTGTCCCTCCCCCCACTGCCATGTGCTGCTCCTGCTGTCTGCCTTGGAGTTGCTCTCCGAGACTCCTGCTTGCTGGGGGGGGGGGGGAAGAAGAGGGGGGCTAATGTCAGGGTGTCTCCCGTCCCCCCCCCCCCCCGCTCCTGCACTCTGCTTACCCCATTTTCCATAGAGCAGGGGGACACAGGATGGAGGGAGCTGCTGCCTTAGGCAGCAGCTGTGGCTAGGGTCTGGTCTCAGCTTGCTGATCTAATTAACAAGGCAGTGTACTTCTGACCCCACTCTTCATACTTAAAGGGGAAATGTGCATCTCTGTCTCTCAAACACACACAGGGTGTGTCTCTCTGTCTGCCCTCCCTCTTTCCTGCTGCCTTGTAGAGTGTGAGAGTTAACCCTTGAGGGCTCAGCCAATTGCTAGATCATCATTTAGCAGCAAGGCATTCCCTGGGAAATATCCCACCCTCTGACTCCTCCACCGCAACCAAGCTTCACATCACTGTGTACCAGTATTAAATTGTTTGTGTAAAACTTATACTCTGTGTGTGTGTGTGTGTGTGTGTGTGTGTATGTATGTGTATAGTGTATGTACACGCCTCTTGCAGCTTCCTGGGGCTGTGCACCTGTGGCTTCCCCCCCCCCGCTCACCCAGTGTGATATTTCACTCTTGCAATGTGGTCACCCTATTATAGACTGAACTCTGCTAATCACCAGGGCCACTCTGGGCCTGCAGGGCCCCCAAAAGTGCCCCCCCAGCTCCTGCCCCCCAGACCCTGCTGGGGCGGGCTTGCTTTACCGCATTGTATGTGAACCCATGTTATATTTGGGTCACATTGTATCAGGGTAGAGGTGTATACTACAACAAGCAGCAAATGTTAAAGCATTGCACTGAATCTTCCTAGTATACACTTCCATTTGGGCCCCCAAGGTAAAATTTAACACTCTACACTGCGTGTTTCTGAAAAATGATTTCCCTTACTAGCAACTTTTACAGGGGAAATTAATATAAATTTCAATGCAAAAGGTCTCTGAGAATGTTCTTGAAGCATGCCAGAATTGACTTATGGGAATAGCTATGACTTTTATGATAAACAATGGAAGGAAAGATCATATTGAGAGGATGTTTTGTTATGTTAAGAGAACCAGAAATAAAATTACATATTTACTTATTTGATTTAAATGATTAATGTTTGGGAGTGAGAAAATAGTTGTTGGTTTCCAGACATCTTTTAACACTCTCAGTTTTGAAGGACTTAGCTCCTCCTGTTATATTTTGTAAGATAGGCAATGTATCATGAGTGTTTACTTAATGTGGCTTGTATCCATTAGAATGAAATAATAGAACCATTAACCTTTTCACCATTATGACTTCTCTGAGCAGGCACTGAGCATATGTAAGAGGTAGTTCATATTGTCTAGCTTGCTAAATGAATATACATTCACCTACGTGTCTTGATAAGTATATGGACTAATGATATGGTGGGACTGCCTACAATGGCATGCTAGTAGCAAAAATCCCCAACGGCCAGAGATGGGACACGAGTTGGGGAGGGCTCTGAGTTACTACAGAGAATTCTTTCTCAGGTATCGGTCTGGTAGGTCTTGCCCACATTCTTTGGATCTAACTGATCACTATATTTGGGATCAGGAAGGAATTTTCCCCCTGAGTAAGATTGGAAAAGACTCTGGGTAGTTTTCACCTTCCTCTGCAGCATGGGGGATGGGTCCTTGCAGGTTTAAGCCAGGGTAAATGATGAATTCTCTGTAACTTGAAGTCTTTAAACCATGATTTGAGGACGTCAGTAACTCAGCCAGAGATAAGGGGTCTATTATAAGAATGTGTGGGTGAGGTTCTGTGGCCTGCAATGTGCAGGAGTTCAGACTAGATGATCACGATGGTCCCTTCTGACCTTAAAGTCTATGAGTGTAAGTCCAAATAAAGTTGGAAATTTGAGAGTGGCTGTTTCTTCTGTTAGTAGTTCGTTTGTGTTACCATAGAGTCTAGGAGCCCTAGTCATGGTCTAGGACCCCCTTGTGCCAGGCACTGTATAAACACAGAACAAAGACAGTCCCTGCCCCAAAGAGCTTACAATCTGAGTAAAAGGCAGGAGATAACAACAGATGGGGGAGTGTAAGGAGACAATATTTGTGTAAATTACACTTGCCCCTATCTTTTTAAAGTAGAAAAGTGAATATTTACTTGGTTAAAAGCAATTTCATACATTCTCCCTCTCTCTGTTCCCTATTATTTTGGGGCGGGGAAGGAGGTAGTTGGGAGTTGGCAACCATAGATTCCCCACCTGCACAACAAATTTCCTTTTTAAATCCAACATGTAACCAACCACAGTGCATGCATGTAATTTGTCACAATCAAACATCAATGTACAACCTTAATTTCATCCCCATACTTTTCATGTACGCTGACTTTTTATAGACTCCACATCTATAAAGAAAATATTTTAACCTACCTAAATTAAAATTGTGTATTTTTTGTGATCGTAAGGAAATGGATACATGCATTATGGGTAACATGTTGGAACTGAAAGGGGGTTATGGAGTAAAGGAGTCTGTGAATGTGTATTAATGACGATTCAGAGGTAAAAGCATATCATTTGAGGATGCTGTGGATCGTGGACGTTGGTTTAACTATTGACTCCCTAAATGTTTACTTCGTTGATAGAAATTATGTGACCAACCTATACTTTTTTATGGCAGTGAAGTTTCTGAGGAGATATAGATAGAGGTTTGCACAAATGTGCAACACTGTTTTAGATTCTAATTATTGAAATTATTTTCTCACCAATATGATAAATATTTTTGTCAGTTCTAATAAGTATTGTGATTTACTCATTGATGCTAAAATTCTTCTTAAAATGTATAAGAACTTTGAATTAAAAGAGTATTATGAGAAATGGTTAGTTAGAATGGGGCTGGACATACTCAGGTGGCCTGTTTCAGAGTTCCCACAGCAACTTTACTGCTATTTAGCAAATTCAGAATAGATACTGATACCAGGTGGCAGAAAATGTTAAATCTTCAAAGGATGAATGCAAAAATCAGACTCCTGTGAATTTTCTAGTTGCAGGTTCCAGAATTAAGCTATGGAAAGCCAATCAGTAGCAATCTACAATGGTATAATGTTCAGTTAATACTTTTGGAGGAAACCTAATTCTCCCTTAAATCTTGATACCATGGTATTAAGGCAAATGTAGTGGTCTACTAGTTTTTGTTTTCATTTCATTTTCCATTTACAAAAAAATTAATTTGAAAGCATTGCTTTTTGTCATTGCCAGTCTGTTTTTAGCCATTGAGTATTTTTCATCAAATCAGATGACCTCATATTTCACTTTCACAAAGTGTCTGTGTATGAATATGGAATTTCTGTTCAGTCTTTTACAAATTGAGAAAGACACCTGTCAAGTGCTGCAGAGCCATCAGTTGTGCGCTCCTGCTTAGCAGATTAAAATGCAAAATGTCTTCAAAGTATTACGTTATTTTAATGTTGATAGACTGCATATCAATTTCAGTGGGAAATGGGGTATTCCTAAGAGGGAAGCCCAGCTACCAAGTTGGCTTTCTGTGAATTTCAGCTTTTGGGTCAAGCACGCCTCACTGGACCTGCCTGACAAACAAGTGAATTACTGATATAACACACCCATACTTCACTGGCCTAGTGGGCTTTAGCCCAAGAAAGCTTATGCTCAAATAAATTTTAGTCTCTAAGGTGCCACAAGTACTCCGCGTTCTTTTTCCAAAACATAGGCATTCCATGTGGTACAGAAGTGCCTTCCATCTAAAAGGGTCCTATCCTTTATTATAGAAATTAATCCTTAAGAGCATAACAGAGCAACCACTATCATAGCTGCCTGTGTGTGATGTGGGGACCAATCCTGAAGGCTTTATCTTGTTAGATTTTTTTTGGTATGTGAAGAGGAAATATTCTTTCTCAGGTGGTATATGCTGTGATAAAGTTTTGTTTGTATCTAAATAGTTACAAAGATATGGTAGGGAGGAAAAAAACTGTGTGTCTGTGTATAATTTTTTTTAAAGAAGTTAAAGGAGACACTAGATTATATTTTATAAAAATTATTCTCCTGAGTTTATTAGGATCAATTTATATAAAAGGTTCTAATTGCACTGACTTGACAAACTTATCTGCCTAACAGTGGTATGTAAAGCAGTACTATGTTTCTTGGATGTTCATCATACGGCTAGTTAGGATCTGATGTGAGATCTAGAAAAATATTATGGTGTTATAAAGCCTTTATCCAAAGATTTACAAAGCATCAGTTTAATAATTTTTCACATAAGACACTGCTTCAAATATATTGTGTATTGCTTTGCTTGTGCTGTAATTAATATTTTGTGTGGGGGCGTCTTTTTTTTTTTTTCTTAAGGGCTCAGCTGATCCTCTAAATAGTGCTTTTCACTTGACATACAACATGGTGTTGAACTTGCTCCGAGTAGAGGAAATTAACCCTGAATACATGTTAGAAAAATCCTTCTACCAGTTTCAACACTACAGAGCTATTCCAGGAGTAGTAGAAAGTAAGTATTGTGTGTATCACATACTTAACCATGTGAGAGACTGTGTCAAAGATACTTCAACTGTGGGATTGGATAGCTAAGATAGGGTGTTATGTTTATAATGAGAATCCACTCAGAGATTCTAGACTGTACAGCCTCTCCTTTCCTGGCAGCAGAATGCTTAGTGCACTTGCTGTTATGGTTGTGGGCAGGAGAGGGTTTTCAGGGACGGAAGCCATCTTCTGTTGTTCTGTAATAGCACCTGGACCTTTTTTGGGAACAGAATTTAGTGAGATAACCTGTTCTACTGGATGAGACAAGGATGATCACCACATTGTAAATGTGTAGGAGGAGAAGAAGAGGAGCAAAAAAAGTGTCTTTGAGCTCATGGAAGATGCAGACAAGGTTTCTGTTCTGTTCAAAACACAGATAAATCAAATTGATTTCAGTATCTAAAAAAGAATTAAGGCCTATCGTGTCCAAACCACCAGAAAAAAAGATACTCTAGTAAGGCTTTGTAAATAGTCTGGAAAATTGATCAACGGTGAAGCAAAATCCTAATGGAAACAAGGCTTTTGTTTTCTACTCCTTCGAGTGGCTAGCCCTGTGAGCCATGCTCTTCCTGCTTTAAACAGTATTTCCATGAGCCAAGATGAATTTCCAACGTGTTTCTTGTTAATCAGTTTTTGACAGTTCAAACTCCTCCAGGAGCTTTACCCAATGGAATCCAAAAACCACAGCAGATGTATCTACTTCATCTGCCAGTGAAGAATGAGCAATTCACCTCTTCAGTGCCATTAAGTGGGGGAAATAATAGATCCACACCAGGTTTGGAATTTGGTTTTTGGCACCCCATTGCTCTGTGTATGTGTTGGATTGCAGGGGTGGCTTTTAAGACCATACTTACATATGATGTGCATTTCTCAGAGAACAGTTCACACCCATAGACATGCCCAACCCTTTGTTCCCATAATGTAGAGTCCAGCATTGCTTCAGAAAACTATGCCAGAGAGCAAGCTGGGTATTTCCTGGAAATTATTATACCAAAAACCATACTGTGCTTTAGAATTCTGTAGGCACCTCAACTGTAATTCCCTTTATGAAGTGGAGTAGGGTTTACTAAGGCTGGAGATGCAGTCCATTCTATGGAGGTATATTACAGGCCATACTCTCCCTGAGCTTTGGCTTCTTCACATCAGGGTTCTTTATCCCTTGGCTGGGAGAGGAAGCAGAGAAGGCACAGCAGCAGTTTTCTTTGCTCTCAGTCTGTCAACGTTGGCTCCTTTGACATCAACTTCTGCCGATGCTCCCTCTGACACCAGGAAGAGTGGGGAATCTTTGCTGGTCGTGTCTCCTTTGATATCCATGTCACCTTCTCTGTGTTACTTTGCTATAGACGTCAATGACAGAGTGAAACATTTCCTAGAAGTGGTTATACCTTGGTTCCCTGGGGTCCGGTCACTGTCCCAGTGCCATCAAAAATGGAGCTTAAGGCTCATGCCGGGTTTTTCTGTGACCCATTTAGGACTTACACTCATCCTGGGGTAGTCTGCCCCAGAATTCCTTATCTTGGACTGGCATCTGCTTAACTTGTACCCTATCGCTGGGGTCTCATGGAGATCATTGTGTACTACTGGCTTCCCACTGGAAACAACTTGGGTTCTCTATAGCTGTTGTTTCAGTCTGAGGGGTCAGTAATAGAGGAAGATGAGTGACTGGTGAGCCATAGAGGACACCTTTATCCTCATCTGCACTGGATGAGTCTGTGAGCACCTCACCAGCTGCTTCCTCCTTTGGTGGCATGTTTTGTTTTAAATAGTCAGAAAACTTGTATTGAAAGTGATATTCAGATACTATTTAACTACATGTTTTTGTGAATGCTTCTTTGCTATAACATTGTTTAGGATAATGTGTGACTCTGTACGTTTACACAAGATTGTTTTATTTGCAGGGGTAAATAAATTGGATGAACAGTACAACAAAATAGAAATTCCAAATGAGGAAAGCGTGGTCATCTACTACAAAATCCGACAGCAGCTTGCTAAACTGGGTAAAGAAATTGAGGAATATGTTCACAAACCAAAATACTGCTTGCCGTTTTTACAGCCAGGCAGGCTGGTAAAGGTAAATTGCTTCTCTTTTATCATCTCCCCCAGCCCGTCAAACTTCCAAGGCTTGTGTCTACTTGCCAGTTGATTCTCTGGCAAAATGTTACTTATTCCAGCTGAATAGTAAATTTGACTTTAATTGTAGTTCTTTAACCTTCCTTTAGGGTTGACTGTTTAGTAAGGTTTGCTTCAAAATCAGCTTTGTTATAAATCACAGCAACCCATAAACAGACTGAAGAAGAGATCTGTGTAGCTAAAAAGCTTTTGTCTCTCACCAACAGAAGTTGGTTCAATAAAAGATATTACCTCACCCACCTTGTCTCTGTAATAGCCTGGTACCAACATGACTACAACACTGCAAACAGCAATCCATAAAGTATTCTTGTCATTGTGCTTTTTTTCTAGAGGTTATTTTTATAACATGCTTTCATCTTTTTAGGTAAAAAATGAAGATGATGATTTTGGTTGGGGAGTCGTTGTTAACTTCTCCAAGAAATCAAATGTTAAGGTAAAATAATACACTTTTCCCTTCACTGGCAAAAGATGCATATTTTCACTAAATGTGTAGAAAGATGAAATGGAGATGTAAAAATCTGCATTTTTAGTTGTTTTTCCACAGGCCAAAAAAGAAAAAAAAGTCTGTCACCTCGCTAGAAAAGCTGCAAAAGGCCCAGGCCTTTGTAGACTTATTCACACTGAAGGAGGAAAGAAAAAGGTTCTTGGAAGTTGGGAAATAGACCTTCACCCCGAGTCCTATCTTTTTATTTTTGATAGTCCCCTGTTAACTGATGGAGTTATCTGTGGTGTCCTGTTTAAGAGTCTATCCAGGGCACTCTGACAGTGTATTGAACAACATTAGACCTTTCAGGCTACTCGAATTGGCTGCTGAAAGCCATGGTGCACTACAGCTCCATCCTAAGCAATCCACGGTCAGGAAGGATGCTTTGAGATACATTAAAGATATATTTCAGAGTAGCAGCCATGTTAGTCTGTATTTGCAAAAAGAAAAGGAGGACTTGTGGCACCTTAGAGACTAAAAAATTTATTTGAGCATACGCTTTCGTGAGCTACAGCTCACTTCATCGGATGCATTCAGTGGAAAATACAATGGGGAGATTTATATACATAGAGAACATGAAACAATGGGTGTTACCATACACACTGTAACCAGAGTGATCACTTAAGGTGAGCTATTACCAGCAGGAGAGTGGGGGGGACACCTTTTGTAGTGATAATCAAAGTGGGCCATTTCCAGCAGTTGACAAGAATGTCTGAGGAACAGTGGTGGTGGGGTGGGGGGGATGAACGTGGGGAAATAGTTTTACTTTGTGTAATGACCCATCCACTCCCAGTCTCTATTCAAGCCTAAGTTAATTGTATCCAGTTTGCAAATTAATTCCAGTTCAGCAGTCTGTCATTGGAGTCTGTTTTTGAAGTTTTTTTGTTGAAGTATTGCCACTTTTAGGTCTGTAATTGAGTGACCAGAGAGATTGAAGTGTTCTCCGACTGGTTTTTGAATGTTATAATTCTTGACGTCTGATTTGTGTCCATTTATTCTTTTATGTAGAGATTGTCCAGTTTGACCAATGTACATGGCAGAGGGGCATTGCTGGCATATGATGGCATATATCACATTGGTAGATGTGCAGGTGAATGAGCCTCTGATGGAGTGGCTGATGTGATTAGGCCCTATGATGGTGTCCCCTGAATAGATATGTGGACACAGCTGGCAATGGACTTTGTTGCAAGGATAGGTTCCTGGGTTAGTGGTTCTGTTGTGTGGTGTGTGGTTGTTGGTGAGTATTTGCTTCAGGTTGGGGGGGCTGTCCGTAAGCAAGGACTGGCCTGTCTCCCAAGATCTGTGAGAGTGATGGGTCGTCCTTCAGGATAGGTTGTAGATCCTTGATGATGCGTTGGAGAGGTTTTAGTTGGGGGCTGAAGGTGATGTCTAGTAGCATTCTGTTATTTTCTTTGTTGGGCCTGTCCTGTAGTAGATGACTTCTGGGTACTCTTCTGGCTCTGTCAATCTGTTTCTTCACTTCCGCAGGTGGGTAATGTAGTTGTAAGAATGCTTGATAGAGATCTTGTAGGTGTTTGTCTCTGTCTGAGGGGTTGGAGCAAATGCGGTTGTATCGTAGAGCTTGGCTATAGACAATGGATCATATGTTGTGGTCTGGATGAAAACTGGAGGCATGTAGGTAGGAATCGCGGTCAGTAGGTTTCCGGTATAGAGTGGTGTTTATGTGACCATCGCTTATTAGCATTGTAGTGTCCAGGAAGTGGATCTCTTGTGTGGACTGGTCCAGGCTGAGGTTGATGGTGGGATGGAAATTGTTGAAATCCTGGTGGAATTCCTCAAGGACTTCTTTTCCATGGGTCCAGATGATGATGATGTCATCAATGTAGCGCAAGTGGAGTAGGGGCATTAGGGGACGAGAGCTGAGGAAGCGTTGTTCTAAGTCAGCCATAAAAATGTTGGCATACTGTGGGGCCATTCGGGTACCCATAGCAGTGCTGCTGATTGGAAGGTATACATTGTTCCCAAATGTGAAATGGGTGAGGACAAAGTTGCAAAGTTCAGCCACCAGGTTTGCCGTGACATTATCGGGGATACTGTTCCTGACGGCTTGTAGTCCATCTTTGTGTGGAATGTTGGTGTAGAGGGCTTCTACATCCATAGTGGCCAGGATGGTGTTTTCAGCAAGATCACCGATGGATTGTAGTTTCCTCAGGACGTCAGTGGTGTCTCGAAGATAGCTGGGAGTGCTGGTAGCGTGGGGCCTGAGGAGGGCGTCTACATAGCCAGACAATCCTGCTGACAGGGTGCCAATGCCTGAGATGATGAGACGTCCAGGATTTCCAGGTTTATGGATCTTGGGTAACAGATAGAATACCCCAGGTCGGGGTTAAAGATATAGATACTCTTTTATTTATCCTCACAACTGCCCTTTGAAGGTAAATATCTCCATTCTAAGGTGGGTTATTGAAGCACAGAGAGGCTAAGTGACTTGCCTAAGGTCACACAGCAGGTCTGGTGGAGCAGGGAATTGAATCTGGGTCTCCCAAGTGCTAAGCTAGTGCCTTAACCATAGGAACATGGTTCTTTAATAGGTCACCATAGAGTTTGATAGGAGAGGGGGAGGCAAGGAAAGAGAAGACATACCAAAAGGGCCAGACAGAGAAGATTCTTGCAAACACTTTTCCACCATGTTGGGTGCAAATTTTCACCATTTCTGCAACTCATAAATTACCGTGAAGCAGTAAATGCAAAGTTAGTTCTTCTTTGAATACTGTCCCTGGGGGTGCTCCACTTGAGGTTTTCATGAACATTCAATCAGAGATTTTTGCCAGCAGTGTGCATTCGGTCTGCACAAATGTTGTAGCTATCCTTGTGCTCTGCGCTGAGGCTACGTAGGGTTGTGACAGACAGACCACCCTCAGCCTGAGATGGAGCAGTTGGTAGTGCTTGCCTGTGCAGCTTCTCACTTTGTCAAGTTTGAGTTCTTTATATTAAATTTCTTGTATTCCAGTTTTATTCTTTGTAGTTACTGTTTGCTTTGTTTTTTTGAGAGTTCTCTTCTCTCATTTGATTGAGGCTTTGCCTCCCGTTCTTCCATTATAGGGGGAGGTCCTCTTGAAGCTTGGTTTTGTTTTGTTTGTTTTTCTTTTTTCCCTGTGGGGCGTGCCTAAGTCCCCAGGCTTCAAACATTGTCTCACTTACTGGGAATGCTTCCCAGTTAGTAATGGCCAGTTGTACTGTATCCATTGCCTTTGGGACACGCACATGCCTTCAAAGTGCAAGATCTGCATGAACTTCAAGAGTCGCTCCAAGAGGGACAGAAATAAAACTTCAGCTCCTCAGAATGGAACGTTCACTTCATCTGGCTTCAGATCAAGGGCTGAGAGACTCCCCTCCCCGCTCCAGACACCAGCCTCGAAGCTCCCACAGTGCCCCATTAGTCTTAACTGTTCAGTCGCTTTCTAGATCTTTGAAAGACAGACCTTTGAGTGAAATGGAGAAAGCCTTATCCAAGAGGAGTACTAGATCTCCTCAGAGAGACCATATTCCTACAAGGCCTGCTGTACTGGAGACCCAGTACTCCTTAAAGGCTTCTGAGGAGGCTTTAAACGAATTCAGTACTGAGGCTCCCTTCATGTTAAAGACATGCAATACCCACAGTTTGGTACACAAGTCTTTGGTACCATCAGAGCCTGAATGGGGTGCTTTTGGGTCCGTGCAGTTGGTTCCAAAGTTGTTTCTTTGGTACCAAGAGTGCCAGTACAGCCAGAGTTAGTGTGACCTGTACACATCTTGGTACTGCAAGTTTCAATGTCCAGGACTCATCAGGAATCGGCACAGATGCCTCCTCGTCAGCTTCTGGGTGAAACTCCACAGACTAATATATCCTCATCCTCCCCAGCTGAGGCTGTGATACCCTCACCAACTCATGTGAATGACATCAAGCAATTCCAGGATTTGATTAAAAGAGTAGCAGACACTTTCCAGATTCCATTAGAAGTACTTCAAGAGACACAGCATAAATTGATTAATACTTTACCATCATACAGGTAGGTTTGCCTATAAATAAGGAACTATTAGAACTTGTCAGATGATCTGACAGACTCCTGCTACTGCCCTTGCGCACTCCTTGCCCCCACTCTCCCTATCCTCAACAACTAAGAAGGCAGATAAAGAATATTATGTCCCAGCTAGGGGTTCAGAATTCTTACATTCTCATCCTGCCTCTAGTTCACTGGTCATGTATGCAGTGAGTGAATGTAATAGGCAACATGATTCAAAGGTGACTCCACATTATAAACACCACAAGTGCTTAGACCAAGAGTTATTTGTCTTCAGCCCTGCAATTCTGGATTGCTAATTATCAGGTGACTCTGGCAAAATATCCTCCTGGGGGACTTCTGTGGCAAAAAATTAAATTCTGTGCACAATATTTTAAAATTCTGCAAATTTTATTTGTCAAATTAACACTGTACCAGTTTCAATTATTTTGGTAATTTATTTCAAAATAGCTGTCAGGGGAGAGAAGGTGGGTGGAGGGGAGGGAGAGAGAGAGACTCTCTCTCTCTCTCTCTCTCTCTTTCCCCTCCCCCTCCCACCAGGAGTACAGAATTAAAGAAACCCCTATGACAACCCGGTTTGTGTTTCTCTTTCCCTCTTCCTCCCTACTTTCCCCGAGCCTAGCTGGGCGGCCAGAAACCCACACTCCCTACCTCCCAGAGCCCAGCTGCGGGGAGTCTTCTCCGCCAGCCCAGACCCTCACTTGCACGCTCTGCCCTCCTAGAGCCCAGGGATCCAGAGGGAGTAACAACCTGATGGTGGGACCCGGGCTGTGTGGAGTTTCCTGCATGCCGCCTCCTTCCTTCCGGATGTGCCGGGAACTGCAGCAGCTGGGAACCCTCCAGCTCCTTCTCCCTCCCATTAGCAGTGCCTTCTATGTGGAAGCTGGTCTTTGCTGAGTCCAGCAGACCCTAGTGGTGGCCAGCAGC